GATGTTCTATCAGTTAGCGAACGATTCAGCCACTAGAAGTGTAATGAGAACCATTATTTCCAAAGGTGAAATTGCGAAGAATTGCCTAAAATTTCAATCCTTATGAAGCTTCCGTATGAAGTGGCAACCGATGCGACCCTTGATCTTTGGAGAGTGGCTCTGTACCGAATTGCCAAAGAAGAAGTTGATCCAAAAACTTATCGCCGAGAATCAGTATTTGGAAAATCCTGGAAGACGGTCTTTCCGCACGGACCTCCAGCGCCACTCCTACTTTGACTTGTCTTAACAGTCACGCCACAAATTTTTTCTACCCCTGCTTTGAAGTGACAGTGATCCTGGGTGGAAAGCATGCAACAAACATGCCTGAAAATGGCTGAAAAACATATAGTAGGCTACCAAGCTCTTAAAATGATTTGACTTTCCATCCATCATCGGGTCCCAGATTCGTGTGCTAGGCAGATTGCGGAATTCCCTGATTTTCAGATAAACTTGTTCAAACCTCCACGTTGTGGCACTGTATTCCGTATTCTCTCGTCAACCTTATCCTTAATCAGGGGAGTCCGCAAACCGCCTCCACACGAATCTGGGAGTTGATCATACACCTATTTCCTTGTTGAAAAATTTCATTTACTTCGCTACGTGCAGTCTTTTGGTTCGCATTAATGGATAAGTTCTGTATGATTTTATGTTGAACGTTTAAATGAGAGATAAGATCCGAATGAGATTTTGTTCATTGTTTATGTTTACATGCGCAGTTGAGCTTACTCATACATCTGGAATATATCTATAAACATTCACTCTCTTTATACTTGATACCTAGAGCAAAAATGATAGGTGAGTTGCATGCGAGAACATAATAATGGTAGATAAATGCACTAAGCCAACAATGCGCTAATTCTGCGCTCCAATGACAACAAAAGAGGCTAACGTCATGGCCCGGCACGTGTTGGCTTCGAGCATTTTTGAAAACGAAGTCCTTCATGACATCGCACGATTGTTCCGCAGTCCGCTTTAATTATGGAAACGAATAGGGACGACAAAATTGTATACGATGAAAAACAACCATCTGTTGCAGAAGCGTTTAGCAAGAATTTTAGCAAGAAAAAAGTTCGAAAGCATCACTCTGGTTTATCAAAGCAGAAATAATTTGCAAGCAAAAGAGGAATCTACATAGAAGAGGGGGATGAAGGTGCCTCACTTCACCTCTAGCATCTCTAAGTCACTTACTCGGCCTGAAGAGCATTTTTTTGCCAAAGCTTACTATTCTAGATTTTATGGCCTAAAGAAATAATCCGACCAATGGTTCTTCGTTTCTTCAGCAAATGAAAAATTCTTGAGAGCTCAAATAGCTTATGCCAAGATCCAAAATTTGCGTAAACTCTCAAGTATGCTCTGAACCAACCCAGTTGGTTTGCCGGTGATATAGAGACCATCAAATCTCACAGGATATACAGCACATAACATTTCGAAATTTACGTGATAGTTGCGAGTAATATCGTGTACATACAGGTCAAAACTGTCTTCATATATTTGGGCGCTGCAAACAAACCATTTATTATTTCAGTATCGCTTTGAATTTCTCGAATTTGTGAGAATGAACAGTATGGAACATGTCAATCACGTAATATTTCATCGTGAAGCAGCGACTATTCTGGAGTTCAAATGTTCAACATCTTTTATTGAAATTTGACCTTTTGTACAACATTTTCGACATTTTACGAAAGATTCGCTATTTGCCCAAATAAAGTCTAGTTTGATTCAGTACATCTATGCTAGGTCCTGGCTAAGGCAGTCTAAGAACAACCAAGGCTTCCCTACAGAAAACAACGAGACGGTGTAAAGCCTTTACTAGCGCTGTATTTTAGTGCACAGCACCTTGGAAAAAAATTTTATGCCTTCCAAAGACTGGAAACGCGAAAATATGAAGTACTTCTGGAAAGTGACCCGTCAAGTACTATTATTCTGAAAAGTTCTATTACATATTAGAATTCGAATGACCTGTGCACGGATCGTTCGCAAGTTTCTGCTAGACACTAATTGTAAGGAATGAGTATGCGTTGAGGAAAGGTTCCTGGCAAAGACGTTCTCAGTGAGGGACCAAGGACTCAACCATTCGATGGTTTCAACTGGCAAAAGTTGCACATAATGGATCCGTTTGATTTCGGATGGAAAGCTTTACCTTGTAACCTAATAGTAGACATCAACACAAGAACCGATACTTCTAAATAGTTATGTTAGAAAGACATGTAGTTGAAGCAGTATACCATTAAGGCTGAAAATATCCTATCAAGTACTGCAGATATGAAGGAACAGAACTGCAAATGTGTGCGGACACCTGGAAAAATGAAGAATCCGGAAAGCAGCATGGATTGCATTTATAAAGGTCACTCAACCGTAATGCTCGTAAAGCAACTCGTTTAGTGAGTACCTCTGTCAACAAGATGATTTGCTGCCATATACGGAATACATATACTGGCTTTGATTATAGGCTAGCTCATATGTGCTACAGCAGATTATAGACCATTTAATTTATGGGAACATCTCTGAAGGAGGCTACCAAATATAGGGATGCAGGCAATAGTTGGAAGAAAACGAACCAAGATTATTAAATCTTGAAAATAATCTTGAGGTCGAGACAGATGTTTTGATTAAAATGCCAGACCGCTCTTAAAATATGTACAGTACTCGAACTATTCATTCGACAAAAAACACAAAGTCTGGAGATCGCGTTTTTTTTGTTTTTTCTTCATAACTTCTTCCAGTCGCATAAAATATGAATCCGAGAAAAGCATGATGCTCAGCTCGTTAAGGCGAATCTTCTGGGCCGATAGTAATCTACCCTACCTGGTAGCATCATAGATGCCGGCAAGTTGGCACACATCGCGGAAAGATGCCAACTCCGCCGGCAGCTCGCGGAGTGATTGTAGGTTTCAATAATCCTATGTAACCTTGGCACGCAATCATTTCGCACATTAAGTTTTGATGACGCAGACAGCCGCAAAATGCTACCTTGCGCGACCTCGAACCTATGTGCGTTAGCTTGAAGTGCCACCATGTTAACCATTCGACCATTCGGTCAGCCATTGCCTTTTGCACCAGCAATAGGAGGAACGCACTGGTGAATGGCTGCCTATAAAAGGGATCGATACATTGCGTGAGAGACTTTGACCTGAAAGAACAGCTGATTGATATGAGCGAGAGAGGAGCGAAATCGGTGCAAACTGAGATTTATAAGGGATTGCCAAAACAGTTCGTGTTCTATATGATTCTGAGGCATTAGTGGATTTTTTCTCTGTAAGAAAATCGTCATTTAGAAAAGAAAAACCCATATAATGAGAAAAATGATAGTTTTTTCATGAAAAGTAGAATTTTTGATTTTTTCGCCTGACGTAAATTGTGTGATATCGCCGCAATTCGCAAACTCGCAGACGCCGTCGGCAAAGGTGCCACCATCTCGACGTGGTAGGGGCACGTCGAGATGCCGGCAGCTCGCTCTCTCAAAAGAGCACGCTATTTCCCGTGCTCTCTGACCTGCCGGCAGCTGCCATCTCGCGGATTCCGGCAACCTGCCGGCAGGTTGCCGGCAACTGACATCGCGAAGTTGCCGGCAGCTCCTCCTGGAATTCCAGATATTTTACTAAAGGAGGAGTTCTGGAGCCGCAGATTTTTATGAAGTTTTCTACAGAGTCGAGGCGGCAACTTTATCGAGAAAATTTTTTGAAAAAAGGCCTGGGACGGCCTAAATTTCGGTTCTTAGTTTCTGGCCACCTCGCGGAAAGGTGCCAGCAACCTGCCGACGAGACCTGCCGCCAGGTCGGGGAGATTACTACCGGCCCTGATCTCTAGTGAGCGCGATTCCGTGGAGCTGTCATCGTAGATTATCGAGCGCTAGGATTAGCCGGAGATGTTTTTTCCAAGAAAATGTAGGCCGATGAATGTTGAAAAAAACCATGTCTCCCGGATTTTACTTACCGTAACCCTACAGTAAGACGCTAATTTGCAAAGCAAGTGTTTTTAATCAGCATACTAAACAACCTCTATGCGCAAGTTTTCCAAGAGATTCGGGTATTTTCCACGTTTCAGAAGCTCACCGACGGATTTCGGCTCAAATTGTGATGATTTTGGATTGACCGGAAACTTTGCCCATAGAGGCTTCGAACCTGCTCATTAAGTGGTTTTTGTGCACCGTAAATTCATTCAGCAGAGTTATGCTGGGATACAGCGCTGGTTCGTTCCTCAATTTGCCTGCACATTTCGCATACTAAGCAAGCTAACCTTCAAAAATTTCGCGACCCATTCTCGGAGGAGGGAGGGGGATGGAGGGGAGGAAGGGTCACACCTCACCCTTCGGTCCGTCACTGAATAGGTTACTGGTAGCTTTACTTGTACTGATATGCAGTAGATTTACTTGAAAGCTTATACTTAGCTATCCTCCAGTCACGCAGATCTGCTCAAAAAAAGAGTTGGGGACAATGATTATGGGTGGTAAGTAAAGGAGGTAAGGTAGAGGAGACTAGGCGAGGACAATTTCTTTTCATTTAGGGACGTCAGCAAACGCATCCAACGGGCGACACTTGTAAGCACCGGCAACTCTGCCTCTTTCATTGACTATTGTTGTGTACAAGATGCGTACTGAATGTGAAAGCACAAGATGGCTGCATGTTCAGTCTCACAGCCACAGAATTTTATAAAAATCCTTACCCTTTCTTACTCTTTACCCGCCTGGTTCTACTGGACGTCTCTTAATACTGCCGACTAATGATATCTTGCCCTGCAAATCGTTCATTGACTGCCTCACGATCTTCCGTCAAGCTTTCTAACGATTCTGTTGAAGAAAAAAACTGTCAGTGACTGATTTCCGTCGCTTGTGCACACAATTCCCTATGTTTGCACCCTCGAGAATCCACTTGAAAGACTGAGGGAGAAAAGTGAGAGAACAGAATAAGGGTAGCCAGTCTCCAACGCAAAAGCGCGCGGTTGCAACTGTGCTGAGGTCAAGATTTCCGAGCAACTTTATTGCTTCATTCTCAATTATCCGGAACAAGACTAGACAACACCTAAACAAAAAAAAAGAATATAACACCGGTACGAGAATTTAAATGTCGCTTATAAACGCGTTTCACTCGTTGTTGACACTCACTACTTTTGGTTCTATATCCCTGAAATAAATGAAGCATTTCTAAGGGGTATAAGGCTGACAAACGATCGTTCGATACTGCGACAATTATCTGAACAAGTGAGAGCAAATTTGACATTCACAAATGCAGTTTACCTACTTAGTCAATTCACAAGTGGAAGCTAGTAGGAAGGTTCGAGAGCAACGCTCTGTTACACTCGCCTTTGACTGCGCATGCGGACGAGGCTGTTTTCAGCCACATCGGCACGTTCTTCGGCGTTCTCCAAGGCAAGCTGGATTTGACGGAACTTTGACAGATTCTGCGTCGCTACTTCCTCCTGCAATCACAGATTGTTCTCAGAGGACGATGACTGACTTGAAATGGGCACTCACAGCATCTTCAATTTGTCTCTTTTGGACGCGGATCTTCTGCTGCAACTTCTCTACCATTTCCTGTAGGCGGTCGAACATTTTCTTGTCTTCTTCAACCTTAAAGCAACAACATGTGCTCTTCTAGCTTTTCCAACATTGAAAAATATGCTCGTTTACCTGGAACTGGAGCTCCCTGCCGCGCTTCTCTTGCTTCGTTACTCCCTTGATACATTCTTGATGGCGACGCATTTCGTTCTGGTAATCATTCTCGAGCGTCCGCACTTTCTCTTCGACTTTAGCAAGAGCTTTCTGTCCGTCTGCAATAAGCACATCAGAATTTGGAAATAAACACATAAACAGCGAAAATGAGGTCAAAGTCGCGAAGTATACATAGTAGCATGGCTCTTTCGGAATCTTCGATTTTCGCTTGGAGCTCTTTGAAGGCGAGTTCAAGTCCCTTCTTATGACGGTCAAGGTGAGCGGCATGTTCATGCTCTTGTCGAACTTCCTCAGCTAAACGTTCAGCATCAGCAGCAGCCTGAAAGAGCTTTTTAATAAGAATTACCACCGAAAATATTACTAATTACCTTGCGGCCGCGCTCCTCGGAGGCCTTCAATTCATTGAGGTACTGATCAAGCTCGTTCTACAACATTTGATTAGCTACAGGCAGAAAAATGAAAGCTCTGAACGAGACTTACTCTTGCAATAGTGACATCGTTTTCGACCTTTCTCTTCAACGCAGATAATGCAGAGTTGCTAGAGACGAGCTCGTTGTTTTGCGATTTCAGGTCTGCTTGATCCAATTCCAATTGCTTCTTGGTCTGAAAGAAATTTGAGGTCTTGCAAAGTATCCAAAACATCATGATACTTGTCAATTGATGCACAAGATTGGGAAGATTACCACTTTGCAAAATATAGCCTAGGTATCTAGGAGCCAGCTTTATCCTCGATTTTCACCTTTCCTGTGCAAATTGTCTCACGAGTGCCGATCGAAATTTTCGCAGAATCAAACTTTCAAGATCTACGGGGGAAAGCTTCAGAGAAAAGGGCAAGACTAAAGTGTACTTGCTCATGTCAGTAGCGTAGAAGAAGGTGAAGGCTGCACAAAGAACTAGCTTGGAATGTGAGTGTACCAACTATGGGAGCTCAAATAGCTTTCAGATAAGTGAACAACCTTCCTGAACAAAGCTGGAATTCGAAACCAAATGATATGAGTTTTTCACATTTCTTAGCAAGTCAAAAAATTCATCAATGGATGTACTGCCCTCAAATGTCAGATTGCTTACAAAACATATGAATTCCACTTACCCCCTCCCCCCCCCAAATGAGGCGAAATTTCTCGCAAACCTTCTCGGCGCTGTCGATTCGTTGCAGAACCTCTTCGGTTTCGGCAAGTGCGACGGCCAGTCTCTTCTCCGCTGCGAGGTAATTCTCACGGATCTCCTCCCGTCGTCGTTGCTCCTCGTCAACCTGTCCTTGTAGCTCTTTCACCTAAAAGTGGTTTAAATTTAGTGAGAGATTACGGGCTTGCATAGTCAGTCGATATGCTTTGCAATCCAGATCGGTTCACCTGATCGAAGAAACGTTTGAGTGTTTTCTGTGCATCGACATTCGATTTGTTGGCCTGGTCAAGGGCGATCTCTAGTTGATTGATATCGTTCTCCAACTTCTTTTTAGAGCGCAGCAGTTCGGCTTTGCCCTTGGTTTCCGTCTCAAGCGATGCCTAAAAACACCGATTGCTTAGCTATAATATCGTCATCAGATAAAATTCTTGACCTGGATAGATTCCAAAGCTCGTTGGTGATTTTTTCTGGTGCTCTCAAATTCTTCTTCTTTTTCCTGAATACGCTTCTCGACGTCTGATCGGATCTGCTGCACCTCGACTTGTGATCGGAGCACCTGAACGCGAATTTGGTAGGCTCAGTCTTAGATACAATCTGTATTTTACCTTGCTCTCCTCGGCTTCCAAAGCACTCTCAGCTTCATCAAGAGCGTGTTGTAACTCTTCCTTCTCCATTTCCATCCTCTTCACGGCCTTCTGCAAGTCGTGGTACGTCCTGCCACCTTGAGTGATTTGTTCGTTGACGTCACGGATCTCCTGTACGTAGTTCTTATTCTCGCGTCGGAGACTTTCGCACTGCTCCGCGAGGTTATCCATAGCAGACTTGAGTTTGAACACTTCCGTGCTTGTGTTTCTGGAGTCACGGCTGGTGGCGTCGATTTCCTTTTGGACGTCATCAACTTTTCGCTTCCATTCCTCAACAATTTTATCGAATGCCTTTTGCTTCTTTTCCAGAGAAGCGATGACAGTGAGATGGCGGTCGACATCCGAGCGCGCTTCTTCGGTCTCCTGCATCAGCTTCGTCTTCGCCTTTTCGAGAGAATTCGCTTTGTTCTGTGCCGCCGAAAGAGCCTCCTGCAAGTCCATCATGCGTGCCATCTGCTTCCTCTTGAGGTCTTCGAGCTCGTCGGCTCCGACAAGACCCTCACCCTCGTAACGTGCTTTCCACTGAGAGATTTCAGAGTTGATGCGGCTGAGTTGACGCTGGATGTCATCCTTCGAGTTAATCTCTTCCTCCAACATCTCGCGACACTGCTCAATCTCGTGTTCAAGATTCTTGCAGGTAGCGTTGAGATCATGGCGCTCGTGCGTCTCGTCTTCTGCGGCTTTCTTGGCCTCGGCGAGCTGGCTGGAGAAGCCCGCCTTGGCTCTGTTTACGTTGTTCAGTTGCACCTCCAGCTCTTCTACCCGATGCAGGAGGTCACCGTTTTCATTAGTAAGTCGCGCCTTTGACGTAGTAAACTCAGCGATTTGCCTAGTCTGCTCGTCAACCTTTTGCTGGAGCTCTGCAACCTGCACTTCGTACTGCTTTGCCAAGCGCTCCTGTTCTGCATGCGCCTTCGACTCCTGGTCAACTTGCTGGTGGATGTCGTCCAGTTCCTTCTGCAGTATAGCTTTCTCCTTGTCAATCTTGGTTTTTCCCTTCTGAAGACCATCCAGCTGATTGGTCAGCTGAGCGACTTGGTCGTTACTCTTCTTGCGCAAAGAAGTCAGCTGATCTTCATGGGACATGTTCAAGTCATCCAAGTCGCGTCGACATTTGAGTATTTCGGCATCCTTCTTCTTGTTAAACTCTTGCTGCGCTTGCATCTGATTGTTCTGCTCGTCAAGGCGTTCGTTCAGCTCGTCCAACTCCCTCTGCAACTCGGCGCGAGCTCTGTCGGCCTTGGCGCGCGTTTGCCTTTCGTGCTCTAGTTCATCCTCGATTTCCATGATGCGCACGGCATTCTCCTTGCACTGGCGGTTGAGTCTATTCGCCATCGCTTGCTCGTCTTCAATTCGCACTCCAAGAGCGTGCAGATCGGCTTCTTTCTTCTTCAAGTTGGCATCGGCCTCTTGTTTCACCTTTGTAATCTCATCGATGCTCTCCTGCGCTGCCTTGAGCTCGCTGTCAGTCTTTCTTTTCGATTTCTCGGTTTCAGATCGAATGTGACGTTCCCGTTCAATTGATTCCTCGAGCTCATCTAGAGTTTGCTCGAGCTTCTGCTTCAGACGAGCAGCCTGGGCCTGCTTGGCCTCCTCAGCCTGCAGGTCGTCTACAAGTTGACGATTCACCTCTTCTTGGTGCTTCTTCTCCTTGTTCAGCTTGGCGATAGTCTCATCTTGTGCGTTTATCTCATCTTGCAGAGAGCGTATCTGGTTCTCCTTGGCCTCCTTTTCTTCAATCGATTTCAGTAGGTTACCGTCTACACCTTCCATGCTCTTCTTGATGTTATCAATCTCTTGTTGTGCCTTACGCTTCTGCCTTTCTAGGTCAGCATTTCGTTCTTCTTGCTCTGATAGTTTGTCGCCGGTATCATTCAGAGCTTTCTCGAGGTCCTGCTTAACGTTGTTCAACTTGGTTAACTTATCTTCGATCGAGGCTGAGCCGCCCTTAGTCATCTCAAGTTGCTCAAGGAGTTTGTTCTTATCAGCGTTGAGTTTGTTGAGCATCTCTTCCTTGGCCTTGCGTTCGTTTTCCTTCTTAGCCGACAACGCTTCAAGAGTCTTCTGTTCTTCTGTCATCTTAGCCAACTCTTCTGCCATCTTTCCGCTCTTCAGCTGAGGACGGAGTTTACCGAATATCTTGAACCAGTCCCACGTCCTCAGGATACTCCACGAGCGTATGTTTCGCTGTATCACCACGTAGGCATTCAGCTGCTTCTGGCGAGCTTCGCGGTCGATGAGGGTGAACCAGTAACGTATGTAAGCCTGGATGCCACTGATCAGAGCGTTGATCTTTTCGTCACGAAGGTCTTCGATGTGGGCCACGACTCCAGCTTTGAAGAATATCTTAGTGTGGCCGACGCGGAACTGTTCATCATTTAATTTCCCCTCATTGATAAGGCGTTGGAGTATGGCCCCGGCATTCGTTTTTGGGTCATCGCTTGACTTTGACTCTTTGGCTGCGAGAAGCGCGTAACGGAACACGAAGTCAGCGTGGAGGCTCCTGTTCGGGAAACCCTTACGGCAGATACGGATACCTTCCAGCACTCCATTGCAGGTGAGCTGGTTGAGCACAAGTGCAGCATCGATAAGTCCGGACTTCTTCTTCTCATTGGGAATGATGCATCGAATGAAGTGAGGGTGTGTCTTGTGCAGCATACTCATCAGATTGTTCAAGGATTCGCGGTACATCATCGACACGGTCATGAACGAACCAGACTTCCCGCGTTTTCCAGCAGCGCCACCTGAAAGCAAAGACTATAATGAGATTCTAGCCATGGAAGAATTCTGAAGAATGCAGATACTGCTCTTAGCCGCGGCTGCAGCTTCCTCCTGTGTCTGATAGTTCTTCCAGATTTCATTCAGCAGATCGTTTCCTTTCGAGACCTTCAACACGGAGACGAGGGTGTCGTTCAGGGGATCCTTGTTCTTCTCGAGCCAGTTCGTAACGTTGTATCTGACAGTTCCAGCGTAGTGACGCATCGCGAAGTGAGCCTCTGCCTGCTTGCCCTTCGGTGGTTTTGGCTTCTCGAAGTTCGGGTGTTTGCCCAGATGCTGTTCGTTTAGTTTTTGGGCAAGTGTCATATCGGTTGCTTTAGGTACAATGCACTCTTCGTCAAGCATGGAAATGATACCGAGGGGCTAAATGGGACAACTGTAGTCTCAGTTGAAGATACCACACTTGTACTTACCTTTTCAATAAGTTCAATACAGGCTTGCAGATCAAGACCGAAGTCAATGAATGTCCATTGGATACCTTCACGAGCATATTCCTCTTGTTCCAGCACGAACATGTGGTGATTAAAGAATTGTTGTAGTTTCTCGTTTACAAAATTGATCCACAGCTGTTCGAATGAGTTGAACTGAAATTGTAATTGAGTTAGCCCACGAGCTGTACTTTGCTGGTTGTGCTATCTCTTCCATCCGCTGCTTACCACTTTGAAATATCGAAGCAGCGGGTCAAGAAACTTGAGCTTTTCTCAATTTGGGTAAAACTCACATCGAAAATCTCGAAACCGGCGATGTCGAGCACACCAATGAAGTAATCGCGAGGAATTCCTTGCTGATCCAGAGTCAAGTTGCACTTCTTGACTAGCCAGTCGAACACTCTGGCATAGAGAGCCTTAGCCATAGCGCCAACAGACCAGTTCACTTGTTCCACATTCTGTCCCTTTGATACCCATTCAGTTCCAACCTTCACTCGAGGTGACACGAGTGCCTTGAGGAACTGATCAACGTCAACTCCGTACATAGCACAGGCCTTCTCTGCTTCGTCTTGGCCATCCGGCTCTGCCTGCTCTTCGCGAGGTCTCTGCTTGAATTTCATTCCTCCCAAATGCATGTGACCACCCATAAGGCGGTAGCAATCCATCTTTTCCTGTTCCGAGAAATTTAGAATATCAAAAGCCTCATCAGTCAATTGGAATTCCTCCACATCGTTTACACCATCGATAGTAAGTTCAGCCTGTGCAACGAAATAGTATTCGGTGAGAGGTTTATCAAGCTGAAGTTGTTTCTTCAGTTCGGGCTTGAACTCGGAGAAGATCTGGTAAAAGATGTGGTAGCAACGCTCTCCAGGTGCTTGCCGAATGACACGGGATTTTTCGAGCAGATAGTGCTCAATGTCACAAGATGCGACTTTTCCCAATTTGGAGAAGTGAATTCGAATGAATTTTCCGAAACGGGACGAATTGTTGTTTCGGACGGTTTTGGCGTTACCGAATGCCTCCAGTACAGGGTTGGTTTGCACAATCTGGTCTTCCAGAGTGACTTTTTTCTTTCCATCAGCCGGAGCTGCAACTGCTGATTGTTGACTGGCACCAACGGATGCGAAGTACGCAATTACCTTAATAGTCGGTAATAAGATGCCCAGAAACAAACACTCTAAATTTATCCTACCTTCTTTGTGTTTTCCGTCTTTCCAGCACCTGACTCTCCCGTAATCAGCATAGACTGATTTTCATGGTCTTGGAGCATGTTCCTATAAGCCTCGTCAGAGACGGCGAAGAGGTGAGGAGGCATTTCCGTTCTCCTTTTGCCCATAAAGATGTTAGCCACCGAGTCCGTGTAGATTGGAAGCCTTTTGTATGGATTGATTACCACACAGAAAAGGCCGGAGTACGTCTGAACATATTAGATATATGCTATGCAAGTGTCAAAAATGCTTCCAATTATTTGTTTAGAAAGATATGGTGTCCAGACACCATCCCCCCTCAGCTATGATATAAAACTACCTTGCTCTATATTTTGTAAGCATTTCTTTGCGCGAAAGTTTTGGAATCATAAATGTATCAGCTCCGGGATTTGCGTTGTGAATAGCTGACCACAGATACTGCAGCGAGATGCATCCTTTGATGCAATGAGCACAAGTGGACCCTTGATTCAAAGCCCTCATCATTAAGGGTCATGAGGTGTTCACGTACTTTTCTTATCATAAACTTTAGTAAGTATGTCATCGAGCATCAAATATCAACTTCCATGATTACTCGTTTTATTCAAAAAACATTGTTTGGAGATGTGGATATGACCCTTATTTTTATGACCAACAGTAATGCTTATGTGGCTTGATACATATGAGCTATCCTGTTGGCAGCTTAGATTATGCCTCACAAAGTCATTGATTTGAAGGTGTTAATTGACAAAGTTTGCTAGTCCTTAGTCTACTCTGTTTCGAACGATCTGCGCGCCCGTCAAAAAATTTGAAATTCCGCAGTAACTTCTGTTATGCCGTAAAAAGGTTAGCTCTCTGTCACACTCCACGTTGCCTCCATCATGTGACTTTGAAATCGCTCAAAAGCTAGCATATTTTATGTTGAAATCTCTTTTCAGCTTTAAAGGCTTCAGTATTCTTGGATCAGCAGCAGTGATATGAGGGGGTGGTGGAAGAGTGCGTGCGCTCTCGAGAGAAACTAGAAACGGCACTGTTTGTTAACCTCTCATCCGCCAAACTCTTCTCAGAACAATGGCGCAATCGAGTCGATCGACCATGCTTTTCAGCAAATAATGCTTAGAGAAATAGCGCAATTTGAGGAATGTAAAGCATCAGCACCAAATTATCAAATTAAAATGACACGTTTTTTCTCCGCTGCAAAATTGTATTTGTAGATGTCAAACACACTGGTTATGGAAATGAAATTTTAGTAATGGAAGAAGACTCACGTAGATGAGCATTGATGCGTAACGAGATCGGAGATTATGAAGTACGGAAGCATCATTCAAGAATGTCAAATTTGACATGTCCTCGGTCTTCTCGAACTTCGGAGGATTCATTTCTTGTAGCATATCTTTTTTGAAGGTTTTCTTAAAAATGAGGTCTGGTTATTTTTTATTCTAGCCTTGGCATAAGCAAAACATACTTCCTTATCTCCGATTACAACAGTAACATTGTCACCCTTTCTTGATTTGACCTCAGCTGCCACGTAACCCTCTTCCGGATCGGGTACCCATACATTTTTCTTGGAGTCATAGGGTTGATTATGCTCCTGAATAATTCGTATTCGAAAAGTATGAAAAATGAAAATAACTTCAAATGATAGAAATTCCATACCTTGTCCATCTCCTCTTTGGTCAGACGGAGGTACTTCCATCCTGGATCTTGCTCGTACTCGTTCATGGTCGTTCGTCGTCGGCGGCAGTGGCAAGGACGATAGAAATGCTCCAATGAATGATTGACTCCTCGGCTTTCCGCCCGGTCGAGTCCGCCCTCGTCCGGCTCTTGAGAATCTTCCGTAAGCTGTGTGGATTTATGTTGGCATAGCCCGCGCGATGTGCTCTTCGCCGAACATCCACGCGAAGCGCGGGCGAAATATCACAGCTTGTGGAAATAAGAAAGAGTTATAGATGTCCAAACTACAGTGTGGTAGAAAAACTTACTTCATTGTGAAGATTGAGAAGAACGGCTACCACCATAAGCATAACGAGTAATCACTTTTCTGCATTTAACAATATGCATACCAACATTTTGTGTTCCTTACGACAGTTTCTGGTTCTACTTGTTGATCTCAAAACATTCCAGGTAAATTATCCATACGATGAGCAAATGCGATTTGAAGCTTGTAAGCCGTTCAGCATTTCTGAGTCTGGGTTACCCTAATGGTTCAATTTCATTTGTTTATGATAACAACGCATTTAAAAAAAAAACATAAATTGTGCGGCGGATACTGCACAAAACCACCTAAATATCTCCAACTTTGCTTATTTCGCATTACCAGACGTGTTTCTCTTTTCATTTTTTAGAAGGTAAAACTATTTCGTGTTTAAAAATTCTCCTCTCATCCAACTCTTCCAAATGACTGTCGTTCAAGCAGTCCCATGTTCACTTCACACTAATTTTCTGTCAATATCTTTTTGCTTTATCGGCAACCGTTCTTCAAGCCACAGTGGCTTAGTAATGGTGAAGTCCTCCTTACTTCACAAGTGGAAAGGAGTGTAGATCTCAAAAGATGGGGTGCTGTACTCTCCTGTTGCGGTCTTTGTTGTAATTGTTCACAATTTTTTTATCAAGGTGTCTCAGATTATATGGAAAAAGTCTCCGTGTAATTTAAAACTTAGATTTGAAACGTTTATGATGTGTTCCCGAGCATACCCAAGAAGTGCAGTGATCTTCCTGACATCATGATTGATCATGACAAAAAAGCGTTCACAAAATCATGCATGACTTTTGCTACAATGTTTTTGATGTCGCAATGCCATCGGAACAAACAAATTTCACTTGATGGTCCTCACTTCATAAATTCCTGGACTTTGGATTTGTATTATAAGAGCGCACACATAATCATTGTTATGCAATTCCGCCAACAGCATGCCATGAAGACTTACGAGGAAATGGTCAGAAATTAACCCAGCCATTCCAAACAAGCTGTATATCATCAGACTCATCTTAGAACGCTAATTTCAAACATATGTTTTTTATCTGCCAAGCGATATCTGGGAGGAGTTATGGGTGCTCAAACGAATATATTTCCTTAAAAGGCAGCCTAATGGCACGGATTTACAGTGATTGTGGTTGTTTTAATTGCAAGGAAGAAGCACATTTGTTAAAATCTACGTGTTTTTGAAGCCTATTTCGTGGAACATGCGCCACAGAACACTCAGCAAATCGCACATTCAAACGCCTGTAACCCCGTCCAGATAGTCGATTGACAAATATAATAAACATGTATTTGTGATCAGCATTTTAAGACGAGTCCGATGATATTTCGCATATTTGGTATGGCTGGGTTGAATTCTGGCAACTTCCTGCTTGGGTATTTTGCTAGTCACATCTTTATGGCTTACACCAGTTCTAAGATTCGTTACATTACAAAATAAATTCCGTGCATGCTTTTGCGAGTCCGTCAAGATGTTGCCTTTGTAGAAAAAAGTGTCATGATGATATCACCAGTTTTATCTTATATACGGTGTACAGCTGTCACCATGTACCTCTTTGTTGATCTTTGCAGCGGATGGAGATTATTTATCCTGCAATTCAAAGCGCGCGGATCGATATCGCCTTCGACAGTTTCCGCTCACTGGTGGAGCAAAAAAACTAGAGTGCATCAGGAGCGGATCACGAATTCAACCCGCACAGATCATCTGAGTAATATGAATGGGGAGTGAAGAGCTGCTGCCCATCTCATCTTTGTACATCTCGTCAAATTTGAACAAAAACCTTACTTTAAAACCCTGTAAAGTTCTCTTTAGAGAGACGTTTCACCTTTATCGTATACTCTTAATATACAGGGTGTCCCAAAAGTATGTACCCACTTTCAGTCGTTGATCTGTCTTTCAAGACTTTGCTTTCAAGTCATTTTTTAGAGCTGGCTTTAACTTTAACACATTGACGACCGAATCCTTTCTCGGACCAGCCAACTTTTCAAATAAAATCACGCACAATTCTATCCACAGTACACCTACAGTAGCGCTGGAATACTAAATCCAGCATGAAAGAAAACGCCCGGATTTGATTTGACACATTTTAGTAGCCATTTCAATGAGAGTCATGGTGTGTCAAGCCTTGACACACCATGTGTGTCAAGCGGTCGTCAGTGTGTTAATTTTTAGTGTGGAGCGAATCATCGTTCCCTCTACATCACTATGAGAGTATTGTGGCGCTTTTGAAGAAGGTTCTGAGCCGTCAAGTGTCACATTCGCCTCAGAAAGAGAATCAAACTAGCTGAAAGTTTTATATTTACTCAGAGCCACTGACTCCATTATAAAATCTGCCTTTACTGGAGTGCATTGTGCATGAGTTGTTATGTGGAACATATCTTAAAACTGTTTTTTCATTTTCCCCATGAATGATTACAATATTTTATTTTATTTTATTTTATTTTAGTTTACACTCACGATGCACCAAAGAACAAAAAATAAAACTCTAACTCGTCGAACAATAACAGCAATAACATGATATCAGCTTGTCCATGTCTTCAGTCAGATACACGGTGGACTTATAAGTAATGCACTAAGCTAAGGCCCACAAGATATAGCGAAAACTGTTCCAAATGCCTGATGAGTGTAATGGCTTGAGCAACAAGGAATGACTGGAGAGTCTTGCATCCTCCAAATATAATCTGAAAACCCTTTTTGAGTGCCAGCGAGCTTACGGGCGGAAACTAGCTGACAGACCCTAGTTGAATATACGTTTTGGGGGATACCAAGACTCCAAATTGAAGTGCCAGTTAAGGCAAGGCTTGCCAGTAAGGCATAGAAGTAAGGCATAAGTGGAAGTAACCTGGGCACTTAGATGATTGTGATAGGAAGACATTAGGTAGAATCATGTATCCTGACATACAAGGCAAGCTAGTATGATCAATATTGAAGCAGGGTGTTTAAGTTAGGAACAGTGACAAAACGAAAATAGATAGGTGGGAAGGGAAAATGACTCAATATTTTGATTTGACTATCCAAAAATGAAGCGAAATGCATTTGCTACGTTTACTACGTAGACCGGGCTGAAGATTTGACGAGGTATGGAGGGCTTGCGAGGTATGGGCGACTTGACTAGTTGACGAGGTATATACGACTTGGCCAAGAATGAGCGACTTGACGAAGTACCACGAATCGGGGAGGAGTAAGCGACCAGACGAGGTATGGCGACTCGACAAAGTGGGCGGCGCGACCAGGTATCGAAGACTTGACTAGGTAACGGCTTGGCTAGGCATGGAGGGTAGTTGGAACAATGGTGGACGGCGCACGTACTCATAAAATCTAAAAATCACAGATATTAAGAAAGCCTGAAAATTTTGCAAAAAGTACATGATAAAATCAGCATGCGTGGAAACCTTCCTACCCTACTATAGAACTATTAACGGTGTTTAGAAAAAAATTTTGAAAACGGCCACCATGCCGTTATTGAAAGGTCCTACCGTAATCCTACGATAACAAAGAGCGATCGTGACTTATTCCATATTGTGAATCTAAGTTGAAGCATGCTCTACAAAATGGTGTATGGAGGTAGTCAAAAGACTTCTTGGAAAGAGAGATGTCAACTATTAAACAGTTGGTACATACTTTTGAGAGACACCCTTTATATGATACCTCAAATCGGAGATAGAGTGCTGGACAAAACTATAGATCCACCCTGAATAGCCGTAGCTCATGTGCTTCTCAAGGAATTCATCTAAAATTTGGTGCAGCTGTGTACTTCACAAGCTAAAATCGGCAACCAGAATGGATCCCGCTTTTGTTTGATTATTCAAAAAAATAAGAATTTTGAAAAAAAACAGGCTTGGAGGCTGGCCAAAACTATTGATCCACCTAGAGTTTCTGTCCACTCAAGGCAGTGTGCGGACAAGGTGAGGGTTTTGGGATTTCATTGCCATGCGAAACCTAGCCCCCTTCAGACACACCCTACGCAAGTACGGGGATAGAGTTCGACCTAAAGCAAGAAAAATGATCGGAAAGTGGGGAACTTACGCCTCGGGGCGGAGTCCTCCGATCTGTTTCGAGTTCCTGCTATGCGGCATACCGCCACAGTCAAAACTGTAGGATATCCCGCAGTTACTCTGCTTCCCTGCCTTAGCGGGGACCGTCGAATTTCAAACTCTAGATTTTGGAAAACGCATGTTCACGCCGTTTTCGCGCCTTCTAATATGGGTTTTCGGATTCACCGTTGCGGATAACCCCCGTTACAGGCAGCGTCCAGGCAGATCTGGACCTGTGGGGATTTCACGTGGAAAGTACTTTTGGGGCCTTAACTAAGGCAGCGCCCAAGCGGCAGCGCAGGTAGTGCTCTAACGGCTGAGGTATTCCCTTCGAAAATGGACCCCGCGATCGTATTCGCATGGATCATGGCAGTTTCGCGCCAGGATCCACGCTTTGCGCCATGAATCCTTGCGAAATACGATCGCGGGGTCCAGTTTCGAGGGGGATATTTCAGCCGTTAGAGCACTACCTGAGCTGCCGATTGGGCAATAGCTTAATTAGGGCCCCGAAATTACTATCCACGTTAGATCCCCATGTGTCCAGACTTGTCTGGACGCTGCCTTTAAGTGAGTTTTCTAAAAATCGAGTTTTTGCCCAGACACTACCTTTCAGTAATTCTTGGCTTCCAAAATCTTTTCTACATTTACATAGTCAAAAGTCAAAATAGTGGCTTTACTCCAGTTTTGTCATAAATTCATAAGAAACGCTTATCTGCTATTTTCGCGCGTATTGTTCCCAAGAATGTGTTTTTATAGGTGATTCCGCAGTTTTCTTAACTGATTCGGAAGCGATACGGCTCCATCTATCTTATAAATGCTCAACA